AAAAATTGCACAAAAAAATTAAGTGATGCTTAAAACTTTTGTTTGAGATTACATCTCATAAGGATTATTTATCGTACTCCATGGGTAATAAATTTAGCTTGTTTTAAGCTAACAATCACTTAATTTTTAGGTGTTTTTTTCAGAAAACATGACAATTTCTTATGCTATTTCATGTGTCTAGTATGTATCTTGATTTAAGAATATTGGACTGAAAAGAGGACAAAGCTGTTAAGTTAGTTTTTATTTTATTATTATTATTATTATTATTATTATGATTATTATTATTATAACAGTACATGTTCAAGGACAACATGTTTTTGCAATTTCTAAAAGTTCTGAGATTGAATAAAGGGTTGGATTTGGAAATGAATGCTTTTCCTTTTTTTCCCTCCAATTAATGAAAATTCAATTAAAAAAAATAATTGACAGATTAATCGATTATTAAAATAATCATTAGTTGCAGCCCTAATCTCTGTCTGAATGGCCTCACCCTCCACAACATTTAGGCTTTAGTTCATAGCATAAGTATTTACACGCAAAATTATTTAATCCATGAGAATCTTGCATCTTTCTGACGAAGGAACAACTCAACCATCAAGTAGCAATATACTGTATAAATAGACAGGGACGTCAGGAAGTCTAAGAAGACTGCACTTTTAAGTCCTACAGCACTGCATGTACAGTTTTCCCTAAAGAGTTTGTCATATGTTCACATTTCTAATAGTTTTTTTTCTTTATGCTATGCAGTGCTGTCTTTTTCCTTCCTTGATATGTGAACAAATTACAGTACAAACAATAAATGAATAAATGTGAATCAAGTCTCTTGCAATCAAACTTTCACATAAACTAAGTTGTAACCAAAAAATTACAATAGATTTGTAATAAAAAAACGAAGCCATACATTTCATTTGAACCTCTGTCCAGAGTACATTGTTGTATTGATAACACTGTAAATTGACTGTCTTCAATTTACTTAGACTGACTGATCCTTACACAATGACACATGGACCTGTGATTCTGATGGCACTGACACGCTCATTGACATAGATATTTAGAGCAAGTTGAGCAAGAGACTGGCTTTTGCAGGTAATCCATGGTGTTGTTTTGATATTTCTATGTGTTGTTTTGAGAAATGCATTAACTGTTTCGCAAATATCAATTCTGATCTGATAATGTACCAAAGCAGGCGTCATGGTGGTGCAGCGGGTAGCACAATCGCCTCACAGCAATAAGGTTGCTGGTTCGAGCCTCAGCTGGGTCAGTTGGTATTTCGGTGTTAAGTTTGCATGTTTTCCCTGTGTTCACGTGGGTTTCCTCCGGGTGCTCCGGTTCCCCCACAGTTCAAAGTTATGCACTATAGGTGAATTGAACAATCTAAAATTTTCCATAGTGCATGTGTGTGAATGAGAGTGTACGAGTGTTTCCCAGTGATGAGTTGCAGCTTGAAGAGCATCTGCTGTGTAAAACATATGCTGGATAAGTTGGTGGTTCATTCTGCTGTGGAGACATTAGAATACAAAAGGGACTAAACTGAAAAGAAAATGAATGTAATGTCACCAAAGCAACTGAGGGAAAACTGTAAACTATTAATCGACAGCTATATACACCTACTGTACCTAGGAATTGAGACACCAAAGATTGTATTTTTGTAATATGAATATAATAATAATTTTCGCATATTGTCCCCCCCTATTTACAGATGTAAAAGTACACCTTGACTTGAACTAAACTGAACTCATAGCTCATTACCAGCACAAAGTGACAGAGAATCATGGGCAGACAGCATCCAAAACAAACAATTTCGGTAACTTAATGGGACATGACAAATGGTTCAAACATGACCTACAGTTTTAATTAACTGCTAGTAATGTACTAAAAATGATTACACCGACTGCATCGATCACCACTTCGGCTCTTACCTTGAGTCGTTTGACGACTTCATCGTTGCTGATTTTATCGGTGATCTCTTTGACACCAAGTGGGTAGGTGATCTTTCCGTCCCCCGCCGGTCTTTGCTGCTGAGGCTGCTGCGGGAACTCCATCATCCTTCTCCAGACAGACAGACGATCCTCTACTGGCCTCTATAGGCAACAACACTAAAGTTCAGCACACAAACCCGCCACACCACCACAAAAACGCTAAAAAACACCTTATGTACGCCAGTCTTCAGCTCTCTGGGCGCGTAAATAACCCCTTTAAAAATTAGAAATGACACCGAAGTCTTACAGTCGACAGTTTTCGGGAAAATCCTAAATAAAACCACAAGGCTAATGAAGCTAAAAGCAATACTAGCAGTAGAGCTAACGAGACCCGCTCCGCTACCGCGCTTTTAATCTAAAACACATTACTGCATGGACATTTAATCTCTCGTGACAAGGGCTCCCACATATTGTTCACGTTACACATTACCGCAATACCCAGCTAAAACGATACCTCTAAAAAACACCTCAGAAGGTAAAAAAATCTCTTTGATCGGCTAATGGCCTAGCCGCCAGCTCCAGGCCTCAAACTATTCAACAAACATCCAGCCAACACTCACATATCCTATTAAAATCACAACCCTCCGACTCCCTATACCCCAAAAGCATTTATTCCACATCTCTCACTTAACATTACTTCATTTCGACTCTTAACCTAACTTTAGACGGTAAGAAATCGGAATTGTTTACTTGTTTTCTCTGTATAAGTTCACTCAGCGAGGCAAACAGCAACCACCAACTTGATCATCCCACACAAACTGTGTGAATTAAACTCCCTCCAGCAACTCCAGCTTACAGCCTCCTGAAAACCATTCCCTGGTCATTACCTCACAGACAAGTCGTTGTTTTAATTCATGAGTCGGTTCGGGTTCTGGTTTGGGTGTGTTTTTTTAGTTTCGGGCACAAAGCTCCGTCTCTTTCATACAGCGCTGTGTGAGCGTCCACGCGTGGAAAGTTGAGCCGCAGCGACCCCTTTGGTTGACAGTCTGTATTGCAGCGGACAGAGGGAGAAACGTTACCAAACAACTAAGAAAAGCAACACCTCAAAATGTCAAACAAACGGCACTGAACTTGATTTACCGTAATTATTAAAGAAGGAGTGCCTCCACAATTGGCTTACAAACACCCTCAAAAACATCAATACAAATACTTTAATTATTCTAGAATACTTAGATAAAATATAATATGAAGTTATTTAACATTTTTATATTAGTATTACTAATAATAAACATTAATTTACACTTTTAAGTTATTTTATGGCGACAGGGTGGTGCAGTAGGGGGTGCTGTCGCCTCACAGCAAGAAGGTCGCTGGTTCGAGCCTCAACTGGGTCAGATGGCATTTCTGTGTGGAGTTTGCATGTTCTCCCCGCGTTCGTGTGGGTTTCCTCCGGGTGGTCCGGTTTCCCACACAGTCCAAAGACATATGGTAGAAATTGTCCGTAGTGTATGTGTGTGAAAGGATGTTTCCCAGTAATGGGTTGCGGCTGGAAGGACATCTTCTGCATAAACCCTTACAAAATAGTAAACAGGAATCCTGCAGGATTTTCATTTTTTCTGCAGCAACCTGCTGGTATCCTTTAGGAATTATGAAATCCTGCAGGACAAATAGACATTATGTGCAGGCAATTCCTATACAGGTTTTAGATTCATGCAGTACTTTTTACAGGAATCCTGAAGGATTTATTTTTTTCCTTGCTGGATAGCTGCTGTCCTGCGGGAATTAAAAAATCCTGTAGGACACATTGAACATATGTGCAGGAATTTCTTACAGGTTTTACAATGGAATCAAGGAAGTGGCAAATCCTGCAGGATTTTGTAATTCCTGCAGGACTTGCAGGAGTCTTTGCTGTAATTGGAATAATAATAATAATAAAACGTTTAAACGTGTGAAATAAGTTGGCGGTTCATTCTGCTGTGGCGACCCCAGATTAATAAAAGAGACTAAGCTGAAAAGAAAATGAATTAATTTTTTTTAATCTATTGTTTAGAAATTTTTTTCATTTTAGCATTTATCTACCTTGCAAATACTTAACTAACATCAAATAAACATTTGTTTGTTTTAGTAATTTATGTTTGTTAATTTGAATAAGAATTATGATATTTTTTGCTAATTGAATAGCATTTAAAATATTTTATAAATGCTATAATAGATTATGTTGATGCAGTTTTGTTTATTTCTATTACAAATGTATCATTTTTGTTTAGCTTAATGAAACAGCAGATTACTTATTTACATTTTACTGCATTAAAATTTTTTTTAGTTCATTTTATTTTATGAAATTGTTGCCCCTAACACTACTTGAATTAACTCTTTAACTACCTCACCGAGAGAAAAAAAAATGTTGTATTGCATTTCTTAACTCCTAATGTTGCTTAATTTCTAAAATGTCAGCCTCTACCAAAAGGCTACATTTACTATGAAAAATGGGTAAATATAAAGTGTAAGACCAATTTATTTAAAACATAATCAAAATAAAACATTTTTGAAAACTATATCATCTTTATTTTTTTAAATATGCCATAAAATATTTCAGATTCTCATTAAAAATGTTTTCTTGTATGTTTTTAATAATAAAAACCAAAATCAAGTGTGGTAGTGCAACAAGATTAGATTATTATTTTCTTTTGTAAACCAACAGTGTGTGTAAATCATTATTTAAGACAGTTATTCTTGAAATTACTTTGAAATTATTTAAAACAGTCAAAGCATGCTGAACCGTTTGGTGGAGGGCAGTCAAAGGGTTAAAGTGTTTTAAAATGGTAATTATTATTTTTAGCAAATGTTTGATCACGTGACAGACAGACAGACAGACAGGCAGTCAGACAGGGTGACTGATTGTTTAACAATCTTCGCAAAAGCTGTTTTTCTTTGACTGTCCCTGTCCATGGGTAACCATAACAAAATTGGTGTCATGCTGTTTCCATCCACTAGAGGCGATGCAGTGTTTTTGCTTTGGAGTTGAGAGTCACCTCTTCTGGGTTTCTTTTACTTTTGGTTCCTCTAGTAAAACTTGTAAACAGAGTTGTTGGTGATTTGAAACGGGGCACATCAGAATGCCAAAGAAAAAGAAAAACGGACATAGTCCGTCCCGAGCACCAATGCAGTCGGCTGAGTACGGAAGCGGTTCCGAGAGTCGAGCATACGGGACAAATGGGTCTTTTGTGACTCGGGCGGGCGCAACACATTTAGGCTCCTCTACGCATTACAGCAGCGGTCGGGTGGAATCTCAAAGTCGGGACGAGATCATCCAGCGAATGCAGGAGATGTTTTCACATCTGGATCCAGAAGTCATTTGCATGGTGCTCTCAGAGGTCGATTTTAAAGGTGCGCATGAATGATCACTCCTGGGTTTAATTTTAATCAGTGTCTGTCTAACTTAAAGTTCGTTGTGGGAAGAATGTACGAGGCAGCACACAGTACTAAAACGTCTCAAGGCTGCATACAATTGACCAAACATCACGTAACTAATATCATTATTGGTATCAAAAATAGCAAATTTCTATAGTATAGTTTATTTTAACTTGAATTGTATTTGTGTATGGGCAAAGCTAAATTAAAATAAAGATTAAATATAGTGAATTACAAACAAACACCGTTTTAGGGCTAGAAATATATATATTTTTAAATTATTTTTCATCTAATAAATGCATCTTTGGTGAGAATAAGATGGTCTTTTTGTAAAATTATCTAGTGTAGGCTGTACTTGTTATTTAAAAATTGTTTCTCCTCATCTCTCTGCATTAGTGGACAATGCAATGGATTCCCTTTTGGAGATGTCAGACGCTGCTGAGGGCATAGCACCACCTTCTCCACCCGTCTCAGGCTTTGAGCAGGCCGCTGCTCTCCTCAGAACCAACACCACTCAAACAGATCTCCTCAGTGGGACAGCGCAGAGCTTTGTCTTTTCAAATCAGCCTCGATCTCAACCAGAGCTCAGTCCTGATGAAACTTGCCTGACAGAGGAGTTTGATGCTCTCTTAGATCAAGAACTTCAAACTTTGACAACACAGCAGATGCAAGCGAGCTCTCATTCTCCAGTGTCCTCAATACCTCTCTCTTCTCTGCCCTCTTCTCAATTACTGTCTCTTGCATCTCAGCCTCAATGTCCAGCTCCCCAAAGCTTAGCAGAGCATGCTGAGCACGTCTCTTACTCTGACCCTGGGCTCAGTGAGGCTCGTGGTGGTAGTTCTCCTGTGAATGAATTAAGTTTCGGTGGGGGTCATATCCCCGAGACAAAAACCATATCTCTTGACTTTAGTCACCTAACGCTGGAGGCCAACTCAACTGAACCACGGCCTTCTGCCTTTCAGGTTTATCGTAGACCTGACCAACTACATAACCATGCAGGGGCAAAAAAGCACCAAGAATCACTCAGCACACCTGCCATGTTTTGGAACACGCAGGCTGCTGAATTTCATCCCCACTCTATGGGACCACCCTTTATTACACCTGTCATTCCTAACCCTACACCTTGGAGTAGTAACCCTATCCCTGCTTCACAGTGGCTGACTCATGCCACTGTCAGACAAGCTCCATTGAAGCCTTCTGCAACTGTACCGAAGTCATGGACTCTGCCCACTAGGCACAGACTCAAACTGGAAGGGCAGGTGTTGGTCTTACTTAGAGGGGCTCCTGGATCAGGCAAAACCACTCTTGCCAAGTAAGCAAGTAGATGCATCTCTGGGATATGTACAATTGTATTAAAACATATGCAGTAGCGCAAGGGAAGGCGTCTATTTAGTACCTTAGAAAAAAGGAGAGAGACTAAGGTGTAAAAGTTTTTGTCATTATGCTGTAAACATCTTTAGTCCATAAGAGCAGTAAATGGCTTACCACATGTCATCTTATAATGGAAATTATTTCCTTAGGGGTAAGTTAAAATAGCTTCTCTTGGAATAGGAAGCCTGATTCTTAATAGTATTCGAGATGGACCTAACAGATCTAGATGTTGAGGGCTTGGATATCTGTTAATGGGTATGAAATGTAGCCAGTGATTATATCAGTGTATTATGTCTTCTTATGAAACACCTGTTTGGCCATTTAAATATAAAGATCACATTGAAAATAATTTCCAACTTTAAAATTTAAAACTTTATTTTGGTAAAACAAATAGATATTTAACATTTTCATTTTCATTTAACATATATTCTGTTTATATACATTGACAGCAGTGGTACATTTTGAAAATACACTATACTTGGGCCATTATTAGCTTTTGATTACTTGACTGAATAATATTAACCACTTTGCTTTTTGTTCATATAAAAGGTATGTAGATTTGCATCAGTTTCTGTTTCTTATTGTTGTCCAGTGCAATGTTGGCGCAGAACCCTGGAGGGGTTGTTTTGAGCACTGATGAATATTTTATGCGAAATGGGCATTACTATTTTGAGCCAAATTTACTAGGAGAGGCCCACGAGTGGAATCACCAGAGAGGTGAGTATGTTTATCTTAGGCCACAGCAAAATGCTAATTGTGTTAAATGAAGTCATCACCTTGTTTGTTTAACTAGCTTAATAAACTAAAGCAACTAGAGCGCTTTTCACACTTGAAGCCGTTAACCCTGGGTTATACTAAACCCCCGGTTAACAGAATTTTGAATCTTAAATCCTACAGTTCATGTTTAAGCTGTTTATACATTACCCCAGAATTAACAGTATATCCTGGGTACCACACTCTAGATTTATAAACTTTCTAAACTAAAAGTTTTGTAATGGACCTTTCTCCTTTCTTGACTATAAAGGTGAGACTGAATTAATCGCTTCTTTGTTTCAGTTCAGTCGCTGTTCACCTTTTTCAAATTCTGAAACTGTATTTGTGACATGCACTGTTTTTTGACTGTGCAAAACACATGAATATCTGACACAATTGTTTTGCAGTTGCTAAACATCTAGCTACAGTACATATTGGTACAGCGGGGCTTCAGAACTAGTAAAATCCTCTACTTCTAAATTACAAGTGAAATGTTCATTTACCCAGGTTAAAAGTGGTGTTTAGAATAGTGATAACACAGGGTTAAGAGCATTATGAAAAGTAGTATAATTTAATGACACTGCTGAGAGACTGAAGCATCTTGAAATTGCAACATTTGCTCAGCCAATGACTTTAGTTTGTTGTGAACTACCTGTTTGCTTGACAAATAGTAGACCGATGAAGTATTTGGGAAACAGTTTTGAAAATTGTAATTTTTTTCTATTCTGCTTGGTGCAAATTAGCAAACTTCACCTTTAATCTTTACCTCTCTGCATTTTTTCTTGTGATCAACATTACAGCAAAAGATGCTTTTGAAAAAGGCCGGTCACCCATCATAATAGACAACACCAATACGCAATGTTGGGAGATGAAACCATACGTTGCCATGGTGAGCACTGTATGATGAAACGCATATGAATTACTATTCAGTCTCACTTTATTTCAGATCATTTTTTGTATTCGTAAAAACTAGCTGTGGCTTTTTCCAGATTTTTTTCCAATGTTAAATTGTACTGCATATATCATGCTACTAAATTATTCAGTTATGTCCGACTCACACTGTGCTATTTTGTCCACAACTTTTGGAAGTCCTAAAAGATTTCTTTAACTTTTTAGTAAAATAAAATATTTTATCAAATATTTGATCAGTGGTTTGACATGTTCACTGACAGCCGATTAATGCCCATTATGATTGTAAAGAATTTAAAAAAACTGCACAGTGTAAGCCTGGCTTTACATGAGATTTTTTTTATTTTCAGGATTAAGTTAATGTTCCATAATTTACCAGTGACAAACATGAACCACAAACAAATTCCCCCTTTTGTTACTAATGAGTCTTCCTTTTCTTTTACCTAGGCACAAAAACACAGGTATAAGGTGCTGTTTCGTGAGCCAGATACCTGGTGGAAGACTAAACCTAGGGAGCTGGAGAAGTATGTTAAACATGACCACAAACCACACATTTTTACCTTTATAATACTAACATAATTCACAATAAAATGTTTTGTTGGGAGTCTTAAATGTCAAAAGTTGTGCCAAATCTTAATATGTACAGAACAAATTCAGAACTATGAGATGTTGCTTATAATCATAAGAATGCACAATGTTTGCACAAATATAATTTGTATCTATCTTGTTCTCTTTGTGAAGGCGCACAAGACACCAGGTTACAAAGGAGAAGATTAGACGCATGTTAGAAAGGTATGACCGATTTGTCTCTGTCCAGACCATCATGAATTCAAATAAACCAGAACCAGTGCCAAGTGTTGCAGCTTTGACCCAAAAAGAGACAGAGCAACCTCAGTGAGTATATGCATTATATTTATATAAAACTAAGTAGTTTTATTACATTTATTACGACAATGTTCACAAAGCAGCAGAATATGTTTGTCTTCAAGAGTATAAGACAATTTCAAGTCGCAACTGTTTGTAACTGTGCAAGCACTGACTGCGTGAAACCAATTATTTGTATTTAAACAACTATGGGGATACCCGTCTTTTTTTTCAGGCAGTTTTTACACCCTGGCCTCAGTCATCCTGATCTTGTTGGTGACTCTGACTTGAGCAAACTGAACTTGCACCTTTCCTCATCTCTCCCTGATGTGTCCTCTGTTAGCCAGATTTACAACACCACTTCTGCAGGTGAAGAAGAAAGTGAAATGGCCTTATACACTTGCAAGGAGTCCATGTTGACTTGTGAAAACGTTCAAGAGGATGCTAGAACACCTCAGTCTGATCTACTTGATTCTGAAGGATTGGACTCAGAGCTAGATGCCTGCCTTGTTGACACTGACAAAGAATTTAGTAATTTAAGAAGTGGGATAACTGAGGAATATATAGTGTCAGAACATGAGACGTTTCATGAGCCACCTGTGGCATTTTCAGAGTCCATTGCTCAACGTATAAGGAAGGTCAGAGAAAATGATAGGAAACCCCAGGTAAAAAGTGTCATTGATCAGCCTGTGAACCTTGACCCCATTCTTGACTCTTCAGAACCAAAAAAGGAGAAAAGATGTGAGGGTGAGCCTTTTGTTGAGGACAAAGTAGTGCGACCAGAGCTTTTAGATTTTGTGGGAGACTGGCCACTGGTATCTCAAGACCAGCGTCAAGGAAGATGTCAGAATTCTAGGAATAACATCTTTAATAACAGCGGTTTGGAAGCTAGTGTTGTTGAACACCAAGATAACAAAGATAAAGATAAGGATGGTCAAGATAAAGATGTCAGTACAGACAGCACAGCTGAATTTCAGAAACTAGTCGATCTACTGCAGGGTGGAGGAAGAAACTCCTTTCCAGATTTTTACCACACTCCGTCTTCAAATACACTGACTACTCTACAGTCGTCTTTATTAAGTGTAAAAGAAAGTGACCGGGATCTAGAGCCAATGGTTTTGCCTGAACTCCCTGACTGCGTACTCGAGAGGAAGTACTCTGAGGGCACTAACCCAAGGAAGGATTACATTTATTCTCCAAGTACACAAGAACAGGGAGCAGACCCAATTGGGCCGTCTAACCAGATGTCTTCTGAAAAGAGCACACAGGACGAGATTGAGCAGGAAGACAATGGAAAAGGTTCAAAGGTTGTCATAGACTCAGAAGGCAGTCTGGAGAGAAGGAAAGGGCTCAGCCGAAGAAGTGGAAAATCTTGTAAATTGGCCCTCACCTTCACTAATCAAAGCACTTCGTCACCCTGCTCACAATCTCCAGTTGTTTCACATTTACTCTCTGAAATTACACCTGCAGGAGGAACACCTTCATTGCCCATGCTGTGTTCCAGTACCTCAGCCCAAACATACCCTCAGGACTTTGCTTTGCTTTGGCGAATTGACCAGCAGAAATCTTTTGAATTAGCTTCAGACTCATCTAATAGTAGGATGTTTGTTTTGGAAGGAAACTCTTTGCGTTTCACTCCAAAAATAAATGAAGAGGAATCTGCTTGGCAGCACAGAGTACCATATCGTGTGGTCCATGAAAAAGGTTCTCAGGTGGAAGATAATGACTTTAGAGAATCCAACTCCAAACAACAAAACCTTGAAATTCTGAGCGGTCATTTCAGACATGTTTCTGTTGATATACTGGAGGACCTTTATGAAAAGTGCCATCAGGATATAGAGTGGACAACTAACTTGTTGCTAGATTCTGGAGAAAGACTATATAAGGAAGATAATGAGGTTGACTTGGGCTCTTTGGTTCCTATGCAAGAGTCATGTGAATTATTAATAAAACCAACAGAAACTGTGGTTTCCACGCAAAGTGACCAGGCAAGAGCTGTGCTCTCTGATGACTCCAGCAACAGTTCACTAAGTAGTATTAGTCCTAAGTCCCAAGAAACTAACCCTAGTGAGGTTAGCCCTGCGAGTGATGATTGGAGCCCAGGTCAAAGTTCACTAAGCGATGCTGAAGGATATGATGAAGAAAGCATGACAGAGGAGATATGCGAGTCTGAACCTAGCCATGAAACAGTAAAGCAGCTAAAAGAAGACACTAAAATACAACTGGCTGTTCCAGCGATTAAAGAAGAACTCGCAGAGAAAACAGGTGAACAAGATGCTGGACTGCAAGACACATTGGTGTCCCAAAGTGAGCAAATTGTTCGGCTTCTTGAGGAAGATTTGAAGGATTGGAAAGAAGAGAAGGGTAGAGGTGAGGAAAGGGAGGATGATGAGACAAAAGCAGAGGTAAATGCCTTAACACAGTTGCTACTGAGTCAGGTTGATGAAATGGAGCAGAAAGAGGAGGAGGAGAGGAAGGAACGAGAAAACGAGAGAAGAAGAACTGGACTGGGAAAGAGAGAGCAGAGTTCAATGGATATCCAATCCCTGGAGCTGAAACTTCCTACTGAACTTGCATTACAGCTCACTGAGCTTTTTGGACCTGTTGGGATCAGTCCAGGTAATAAAATATCTAACAATAAGTCAAAAATAAATTCTTTTAGTTATTTAAAACAATGCATCACTCACAGGATCGTGTGACCTGAATGCGTACAGTGATACAAAACTGTAATTTGAATTTGTGATAGATGCTTGACACCTTTAATGTTTCTAAAGGTTGTTGTCTGATCATGTGATTTTATATGGTTAGTTTTATTTTATTGTCTTCGTTAGGCATTGCTATTGTCATTGGGCATTGCAGTTTTATCAGGCATTGTTATTTCCCCATTCTTTTATATTAAACAACTTTTAACACTTCTGCACAAAACTACGTGTAAGTGACGAAGAGTGTAATTGTACTTCAGAATTTATACTAGTCATGTGAAAAGCTTTTACTTTTTGATGTAAGCGACTTCATCAACCATTATTCACTCTCATAAAAGTCACTTTGAACCTCATACATTTGCAGGTGCGTTTTCATCAGATGACTGTGCAGTGCAAATAGACCTGAACTTAGCCAAACTGTTGCACCAGAAATGGAAAGAGACTATCCAAGTGAGTATGCATATTGTAGCAATCTTATGTTTAAACAATTTTTAGACAAATCGATATAAACAGCATGCATTTTCAATGGGATCAGTTTAGAATTCATCATGTAAGAGTTAACTCTGTTTGTTTGTCTTTGGCAGGAGAAGCACAGACTGGCAGCTCTGTCCTATCAGCTAATGCAAGAGTGTAAGACTGCTTATGATCTCAATACTTACTAGTCCACTGTGAATATAGACTTATAGGTTGTCTCAAGTAGTTATACAGGAGCATGAAGTGAGAAATCACATTTTTTATATTTTGCTTTGATTACCTCAGCCCTGTAGAATTACTGGAGCACAATATTTAATTCTTAGTTGCATCAAACATTAAAAAGTGATTAGTATGTGATGATGTGATGAAGAAGTATTTTCATTTCTTCTTTGTGCAGTGTTTTGCTTTTAGAGATTCATGTACACGCAAACTATAAGTCTTGGACAATGAAACTGAAACACCTGGTTTTAGACTACAATAATTCATTAGTATGGTGTAGAGTCTCCTTTTGCTGCATATAGACGAATTACCAGTTTGTAAACATTCAGGATGCGGGCGCAGCGAAATTGCAGAAAAAAAACGCGAGCGCTAGAATTTAAAGCGAGGGAATGACATCCGATGCGGTACAGAGTTTATTGTTGTATGAGAAATAAGCTATATTGATTACATATTTTATATATTATTTACATAATACTTTCAGCATTTTATAACAGCTTGTTACCCAGTTATAAGCACAGTTATTTAGCAAAATTAACGCTGAAGTGAGCAGCGTTCATCTGACAGGTCTATTTGCGATAGCTCCCTCCTAACGGATATTGGATAAGACGAAACGGCCAAGCATCCAGCCCCAAATACTCATTGAAACGTCAAGTGTCTTTACAATAGAGAGGTTAAAGGCCTACATGTCTTTGGATGCCAACAATTTTGTTCCGGTGGTCATGTGCAAGAAATAATATTCCATGATTACCGGATTCAAAACTATGTAGTGCTAAAAACCGAGGTTCTGGGTAGCCAAAGACATGACAGAGCTATACAAGGCCTGGGTAATCATCAACAAGCAAAACAACTGCATTCTGACTGTGAACTGCACTTGTATGGCAGGATATGTGAACTTACATTTTTACATTTCATTCTAAGCATTAAGTGTCTGCAGTTTAATTCACCATATTTAACTTTTTGCTGAAATCATTACTGCAATCAAAAACGAGTAATGTGTATGATTTAGCATAGCGTGAACTGACATGAGATGAGTCGAGCATTTTTAAATAGTTCATCACTTCATTCTGCTCCCTTTTAGCCAAAGACGTCTATGGTTGGCATTAAAAGCAGTGTGGTGTATGGTGTTGAAACCGAATTTGGCATCCTACCGCACAACACGACATGTTTGCTATTGCAACCCGTTGTTTTTTTGCTACCAGGAAGCTTTGTGACATCATGTGTGACGTAGGTTGGTAATTGCTCTATACATCATCAGTTCGTCTTGGGAATGACAGATACAAGTCCTCCACAGTGGCACAGGGATTTTGAGCCATTCTTCTTGCAGAATAGTTACCAGGTTACTAAAGGATGCTGGTTGAGAAAAACATTTCCTGACTCGCTCCACCAAAACACCCAAAGTGGCTCAATGATATTTAGATCTGGTGACTGTGCAGGCCATGGGAGATGTTCAACTTCACATTCACGTTTATTAACCCCCTCTGCTATCAGTCTTGCTGTGTGTATTGGTGCATTATCATCCTAATACATGGCACCACCTTCAGGATACAATGTTTGAACCATAGGGTGCACATGGTCTTCCAGAATGGTTCGGTAGTGCTTGGCAGTGCTGCGCACATCTAGCACGAATATAGGGTCTAGGAAATGCCATGATATTGCAGCCAAAACGATCACTGATTCAACTTCATGCTTCACGCTGGGCAAGCAACACTCTGATACACTTTTTTGGAGGGTTTTCCACACTGTAAGTTTCCTCTCCTGATATGAGTGACCAAAGATGTGGCTATACAGGCTGGCAATGTATATTGACCCTGTGGAGCTCCAGATGAATAGTTCTGGTGGAAATAGGAGAGTAAGGGTGCACATTTAATTCTACAGTTAGTTGGTTAGCTGTGGTGATATGTTTTTTTTTACAATCCAGGTTAGTACCTGAACATCCCTTTCATACATCCTCCGTTACTTCTGTTGCATGTGATTTGTTCCTCTTGGCGGTATGCTGACAGTACCCTGGATACCATGGCTCTTGATAATCAACTTATGCCAGGGTCACATTTGACCATGAAAAGTTCTGTTGTATGTAGGGCTGGGCGATAATTCGATATCGATAATTATCAGGATATAAAATTTTTCGATAAAACGATAATGACAGTTCGATAATTGCTCGATAATATTTTCGCACTATGCGTAACGTTGCGCAAGCATTTTGCAGCCTGCCCTTCCAGATGCCGCACGCCGTACAAGTTTACAGCCATACAGTGTTAGTTGCACTTAAATGAGTAAGAAAGAAATGAGGTAAAAAAGGTCAGAATGACAGACACTGTTGACAAGAAACGTCACTAGACTTCATGAGCTACTTAGTTTTTCGCTATCCGACACAAAACAGAGCAACATGCACCGCAAACTGCGCAAACGAATCATGTCATCAAAAGCAGGCAACACCACGACCTGTTTCACCATTTAAAACAAGACCACCCTTATGAAGATGCTAAGAAATAACAGACCTAAACAAGTGTTTGTAAACCAATGTAGCTACACAGCAGAGTCTCATGTCATCCTTTTCGAAAGCTGTGCCTTAAGCCTAGTTCACACTAGAGAATTTTAAGCCTGATTTGAGCCCGATTTGGAAGTTACCGAGCTCACCGACAGATCGGGCTGTGATCGGGAAGAAATCTGCGGGAGCTCGGCGCTCTTTGTGTGTGAACTACTGAACAACGCATCAACGAGGCTTGCTGACGCGTCGCCGACACCTCGCAGACGGAAATCCAACATTTAGCATGCTAAATATTCCAGAGCAGTCGGCCGACTCAACCCCACGTGTGGTTAGATGTAGTGACGAGCTGCAGCCAATGAGAGAGCATATCAGCATGAGCTGAATGCCTGTGTGTTCAGGAGCTCAGCAGAAACATCTGTGATTGGTCAGAATGGGCACCGGTGCACTCGCTTCATTCTGCGTTAGCACAGACATGAGAGTAGGCTATATTAACAGTGGAACTAGAATTCTGTAACTATTAGAATTACCATACTGCTCATTCTGACCGTTGTCATATGAAACGCCATATTGTCACAACATATTTACATTCAAAGCTATTATTGAGATATTAAAATTAAGCTTTGAATGTCTGGCATCATATTTAATGACACCATTACTCTAAAAATATAACCTTTTTTTGGTAATACAGCCTATAAATATGTAGTTAAGATACTAAAACACTTAAAGGTCTTGGCTTTCATTTTCACTTTCAAACAGGAGCTATTTCACAGCACAGAATATGCTGTTTTGAAAGATATCTGAAGTAAATTGATGTTTTGCCATCGGAAGTTTTGTTTATGTTAGCAGGAAGTTGCCAGGCAAGAAAATGCACACACATTTAAAGTCACAGTGAAAAGTATCAGACATGCATGCAGTCATTTTGACCAATATGGTATTTTAAGGCAGAAATGCTCAGTTCTTTACTGTTTTGTAATTAAAAAAAAAAAAAAACAATGTCAGAAAGAATTACACTGATAGTTAAAAAATGGCAGGATGTTATAAATATGTTAGTTTTATTTCAAAGAGTCATAAAATTACAAAAATTAAAAACTCTCTGTGTATCTATCCACTCGAACCTTGCAGATGAGTGATTAATCCGCTGATAAATCAGCGGATTTGACAATGTTTTTAAATGCTTTCTCCAAAGCTTGAAACGCTGTCAGTGATGTAATCAGCACACAAGCAGCCAGTAGTGTTCAACTTTTTCTGACGACTCCTCCCTCAAAATTTCATTGGCTGTGGTTTGGTAGCTTGAATGAGCTGATGGGGAATGAGTTGTTGTCAGATCCACTAGTGTGTTACCCCCCTCTTGTGGATCATTCACAGAGTGTTGCGTAGTGTGAACACCACAGAGATTAAAAGACACAAAGTCAAGTCATGTAGTGTGAACGGCACAGCGATCTGCTGATGTTTAAAATCCTGTAGTGTGAACTCTTGATGCTTGCTGTAAACTACAGGCTGCATCGTTTAGCCTATTTGTTACGACAGTAATAGGATCTTTTGATGTCAAGCTTATGTTTTCTTTTTAATATTAAAATATTTGTTTTGAAATCTGTAATACTACTATTGTTGTGAAACTATTTTCACGGTTTAATTTTAATTAATTAACTAAGCGCGGTCTGAGCAGCATGAACTGGACAATCTTTTCGCTGCACCGATAGATTTCTTTTGTTACCTCGGAAGAATAAACTCGGATGGAGCTCAGAAGCTCGATGTGTAAATGGAAAGGCTCCCCGGCTGGCTCCCCGCATGTTTTCGTTGTGATGCACGATTTGTAAATTGGAGTCTGCCATTCGTGCTAGTCTGTCAGACAAATTTGGTTAAAACATGAGCGGATATATCGGAGATATGCGCATAACAAGGGTTTATGCATCCCGCAATATGGGATGTCAAGAGGGTGACAGCATAGTAAACTGCACACACTTGATGATGTAATGCGTGGATGCGTCTCACAGCATTTACAGTCATCGATAAGGTCTATCGATAAAAGCGTTATCAACAATCAATAGATAAATACATTAAAGTATATTTCACCCTAAATTCACCATACTCACCATTAAAAGGAGAGTTCATCCAAAACTGAAAATGATGTGACTTTTAACTCACTTTGTTCCAAACCGGGTTTTTTTTTTCTGATGTTGTACAATAATATTCAATAACTTGTAGGTTATGTCTTTGGTTGTTGAAAACTTGAACAGTAAATGCTGAATAAAGATTGTTCTTTTGTTTATTATTTTATTATTTATATTGTCAGACAGCTAAAACATTTCACTAAATGTGTTAAATCAGCTGCACAAAGCCATTGGCCTGCTGAAAATCTTATATATTTAATAGATATAAAGATTTTACATTTATCGAGATAAATATCGATATCTACTGATATGAAAAAAAATTATCGTGATAATTTAAATTGCCATATCGCCCAGCTCTAGTTGTATGGTGCTGCGAAAAGGGGCGGGATTAAACAAGACTATTAGACATTAAAAAAGTGAGCGATTGGTCCATGTTTAAAATTTTTGTACAGAGAGGTCATGTTTTGTTTTCTGTTGGTCTCATGATGAGATTTCGCAGGTCAGAGTTCACCAAGTTTGAACTTTGTAATGCAGTGAACTGTGAAACTTGTCGCACAAGCTTGCATTTCCAGTTTGTTGCATTCGCTTGTGTATGTGAACTCACAATGGGGTGAAAAGTGCGGTGTGACCACAGCTTCACTGTCTTGGTCACAGACACGCACTAACAATTTGTCACCCATGTTGTGTGCATTGCAATATTTTAACAAAACTGCTATTGCACAACTAATTAAACTTTCACATAGGGATGGGTAAGGCATGTGCAAGCAATGAAGATTGGCTACGAGGCTGGTCAAATTCAACTTATTGGCCAGTGTTTTGGGTTCATTGTTTAAACCCCTGTATATACATACACATATTTTTTTATACATTTATTCATTTTACAGAACAAAACATCCCTTTGAGCAAAACAAAGAGTAAAAGGTAGATCTAACTGCATAATCTCAATCTTTTCCCCTTGCCAAAATGCAAGTATCTTTGAACATTCCCAAAATATATGTGAGTGATATACATCCATTTTCAATTAATAAATATTTAATAAACATCAAAATTACATAGAAAAGAAATGGTTTATTAAAAGTGTGTGGCACAAGTGTATGTCCACAATTTTACCAATGGCACAATGCAAACATCTTGAATGTAACCTATTATGTCTTGTTAATAAAAATTAGTTTGCAGTTAAACTATTTTGTTACAAATGATGTCATGTTTTTACATTGTTGTTTGGCTTTAAGGTGTCATATGGGGAGACAATACAAATATTTTTAATAGATGCTTGGGTTTAACTTTTTTTTTTTGTGCTCTTAACCTTTTCACCGCATACTGAAAATAATTTTATTCTTGTTTGTCCTCCTTTCTGCCTCTTTGTGTATCTGTGGTTATGAAGGTCCTACCCAATGGGGAAGCAAAAGCAAGCTGAGGGACCAAACCGCTTTGCATGAAGAAATTCCTTTCATGGATCATTGGAATGCATCCTGTGCTCCTGTCTCACTAAGGGACATCATGATTGAAGAGCAGGTCATGCAAGACAGCGTGGAAAAGGTAACAGTCACACATGAACACTTATGCCTCATCACTACCTAGAACCAAAAAAATAAGAAGTACAAATGAGCTTTGCTTGGATTTTAGTGCAGGTCGAGTCGGAAGGATCTGGATAAGAAAGACAGTGCAGCAAAGTTAAAGGAGAACCAGCTGTTTTCCATGTTTCCCACAATAGACAGACATTTTCTCAGGGATATCTTCAGAGATCACAAGTAAGAAATTAATGCACACACATACACAACCACCCATATTAGGCTTCTGTGAATTGTGAGGACTTTCCATAGATTTATTTGTTTTATTACTGACTAAACAACATTTTCTGTTGTAATGCTTTAAACACTTCCACTTTCATTTGCGATTTTTAATGAGTTTTCTCTTGTGGGGATCAGAGGCATTTGTCCCTACAATGTAGCAGATGGTATTGCACAAACTATCATTATCATCAACCTCTGTAAAGGCCAGTACACACTGTAAGGTTTTTGTTTAACCTTCTCCATTACACCACAAAACATCTGCTCAAAAGCTTGTAAAAAAAAAATTACAAGCTGTGAATTTAAATTAAGTTGAGTGAAACTCACCATCAGACCTTTTTGGTCTGCTTGGGCCTTTAAGGTCACTGTATACTCAGGGCCGGCGCGTCCATAGAGGCAACCTAGGCGGCAGTATAGAAAGGGCGGCGTCCACGACACCTCCCTTACCACCCGCGTCCTCAGTTATGTCCGCGACACCTCTCTCACCACCCGCGTCCTCGGATATATTCGCGCATAGACGACAGAATAGAGAGGGCGGCATCAGCGACACCTCCATCAGCACCTGCGTGTCCTAAGTTATATCCACGCATAGGGCGGCAGAATTGAGGTCCGCGACACCTCCCTCCCTCAGCACCCGCGCGTCCTCAGTTATGTCTGCGACACCTCTCTCACCACCCGCGTCCTCGAATATATTCGCGCATAGACGACAGAATAGAGCGGGCGGCATCAGCGACACCTCCATCAGCACCTGCGTGTCCTAAGTTATATCCACGCATAGGGCGGCAGAATTGAGGTCCGCGACACCTCTCTCCCTCAGCACCCGCGCGTCCTCAGTTATATTCGCGCATAGTGAGCCGGAAAAGAGACACCTCACTTCATTTTCATAACCGGTCACTTTCGTTTTCACATTGGGGTTGAGGGTGGCGTGATCGTCCTCTGCCTAGAGCGGCAGTTCAGCTTGCTCCGGCCCTGTGTATACTTTAAGTGAAATTGAAGAATGAAATGATGAACGAAATGATGTGTTTTCGAACTAAATCTGTCCAAAACTAAGTTTGTTTTGAGTTTGCTTTATAGTTCGTAATATCTCTCCAAAGTGAACTTTTGGGGGAGTTCGTTTTGGCTCCTAAATTGCTTCTTTTTGGCTGCTTTTGCATTGGTCCATGACTATTATGCAATCTGTGTCTGTGTACTGGAACTTCACCTTCTTTTAAGTGTGGTTTGATTCATATTTCATATCCGTGGAGGTCAGACAAGATTCAACACAACAACATCAAGTTAGCAAGAGCAGTGTGACTTTGCCTTTGCAAAAATGATTTGCAAAAAGTACTTTGTTTGAAGTGTACTGGGGCCTTTATCCTGTGCCTGTAATAATGTCTGACAGAGGTTGTTGGCTTTATTTAAACATGGCTAAATTTGACTGTAAAATGATGACATGCACAATTCATTAAATCATTTAGAAGTAATCTATTTAAGAGCAAAACTACACATTCTTCTTGTCATTGTGCAGTTACTCTCTTGAGCAGACCGAACAGTTTTTGCAAACTCTTTTGGATGATGGGCCAGTCAAAAATGTAGTGGCTCCTGAACCTTCACCTCAACGCAATGGCACATACAGAGCTCCGAGCAAAGAGCGGGTGAGCACTGTGTATGTACCCATATGGCATACTCGAATAAAATAAAAACCTTTAATCATTGAAGCTTTTGTCTTACTCACTCAGAAATGGAAACCTAGGGATGGAGAAGTTGATGCAGCTCAGTTCCAGGATTCGGAGGATCCAGAATATGATGACTTCCGCACAGAGGCAACACTGCAGAGACGTCAGCAGATAGAATGTTTTAACAAAGCAGCTGAAGCCCACCGTCAAGGACGCAAAGATGTGGCTAGTTTCTACGCACAACAGGTTCAAGTCATGAACATAATGTGTGCTAATCACAGATGTAAAAATATATTAGTTTTGAGAAATACACGTATGCGTCCTATGGTGTTATGCATCATTCCCTGTGACAACCTAACTTGGAAATCTGATTATGGCTGCATGATTATTTAAAATGAAATCGAGATTGCGATTCAGCAAAAGCTGTGATTAATTAATTTATTTTATTATTATTTTTTTTTATTTTTTATTTTTATAACATATTTTTACACTACTCTGTTATCAATAGTAAACCTCCTGCAAGTACGCCACAAACAAGTTGTCAGGAAATCAGGCAGAGCAGAGGATTTAACTGCTTTTATTGATTCAGTATGACTAATAAACACACAATAACAAAATCATCTCTCAAAATGATATATTTCAAAGACTTTACTGAAGTTATGGGGTGAATTAGGAGTAAATACATGTTATTACAAGTGATATATTCACATGCTTTCAGATCAGCACCAACACAGAGCTATATATCACTGCAAAACGAGACAACAGCTTTCAAATCGCAGAATGCTTCTCCTCCATTTCAGAATGTTGCAGATTAATTATCCGTATCTGAATCCGTAGCTTGTCAGTAAAAATGCTCCATCTGAAAGCTACTGCTGGAGGTTTTCAATTGGTAAATAGATATTGGCTTTGATTTATCACCCAGCCATAAATCTAAGCCGTTTTATGTTTCAAATAAGTCTTGCAGATGTGGTTTTAACAAGACTAAATCTTGACTGTGAGTGAAAATCAAATAAACGTCTTAACAATCATCCAAAAATAGACTACTCATCAGATAGAAATCACCATTCTAGACTAGTCTAGTTTTGAATTGTTGTTAGAAATCTATGAAATTTTCACTGACAGCCTAAATTTAGCCTTGTTTTAGCTAAAACAGATGTCTTTCACAGACGTTTAGATGTCTGTTAGATGTCTTTTAAACACAAAGTTGCCTGTCCAATGTAAACACGGGACATGGACACAAATACAAAGAATTTAGATTTTTAGGGTGGGTGGGTACAACTTAACAGAAAAAAAAGTTCTATACCAAATAAGAGGCTGCATCAGTTAAAGTGCGTAAAGGCTGTACTGAATAATAATAAATGGGACAATAGAACCACTGGAGGATTCCTATTGTCGCCTAGCAACTGAGACAGCTGCTGTTTATGAGCGGCACTAGCAATAAGAAACTGACTAAAAATGGAAGAAAGATGGCATGAACTAATATTTAGATTTTGTTGAAAACTCAATCCTCTTCATAATGTAAGGATATGTAGTGATTTTCTTATATCTCTATTTTTTATAAGTCACAACAATATGGATTTTCCTCTGTCTTTTGTTTGTTTTTTTACTTCCTTCCATCCATCACATGATTTCAAACAAGCTATTGCACTTGATGGTTACCAGATGGATGTACATGAGTATAAAGTACCTCTAAAATTGCATTTTGTTAAGATATGCCAAAATTTGAACCACCTAAATCTGTATTAGACATTCAAGCAATTTTAACCCCAATGCTTGCATTTAAGGTTCCGGGTCTTAAAATGCAACCTTCGAAAAATGTAGTCTCTGAATTGCAGCACGCTGCAATAATGCTTAATCAGCAGCCTTAGTTGGGAAATAATTTTTCCAATAGAGATATAGAATTAAAAAAAAAAAGTCATATATCATATCAGTTATATACAATATGCAAGTTCAATTCAATCTCACAGAGGCTTTTTGAACCATGAATGCACTTTACTTTAAAAGAAAAAGGTTTCATTGTATAATTTTGTATACTGTATGTTTTTAGGGTCACATGCACGGAGAGAAGATGCGTGAAGCAAACCATCGAGCAGCAATGCAGATATTCCAACAAGTGAATGCTTCACTTTTGCCTCAGAATATTCTAGATCTCCATGGACTGCATGTGGACGAGGCCATTCATCATCTTAGTCAGGTGCTCCTTGACAAATGTTTAGGTGCGTGGACCACTGACTTACTTACATGCAGAATAAAACATATGTTGTTTTTTGTGTATACAGCAGATAATTTGTGTAACTTTTACAACATAGTCTGGAATTACCTTGGGTGTGTTTCTTTTGTAGAATTTCATCAGGGTGTTTGTCCACCTCAGCTGTCAGTCATCACTGGTAGAGGCAATCGCAGCCAAGGTGGAGTCGCTCGCATCAGGCCTGCTGTACTAGACTACCTCAAAAACCAACACTACAGGTATACTTACTACATCCAGTCAAATCTTTCAATTATTAGTCTTCATAAAATGATCAACTTTCCAAACTTGATAACACCTAACACACATTACTTTTAAAATTCTTGATTATTTTAAGAATGGAAAGAAGTATGCACAGGAGTTAAAGGGTTTGTTTACCCCAAAATGAAATTTCCAACATTTAAAGAGCCGCTATTATGGGTTTTTGGAAATCTTCCTTGCAGTGTGTAGCAAAGCTCTAAGGCTGAAAACATCTAGCTGAGGTTTAAATATGGAAGTGCACCATGTCTAAAACTATTTATTCTCAAAAAAAAAAACTCTTTTATAAGTCTTTTATATGAATCGTCTTGGTTTCAAATCTTAAGCCGTTTCGTGTTGATGTCGATACAAAACATTGCCACACATGAGTAGCCAGACCTGGGAAAACTTGTGATGATTGAGATGACTCAAGATGCGGCTAAATCTGTTTTTGAGCTTGCAATCCTTTTGCGTTTGCTGTTGCCTGGCACGTGCACACATAGGGCTCAACCTTTGCAGTGCACATGCCCTTTTTAGTCTTGGATAGAAAGTGCCCTCCAAAAATGATCAAAAGTGCCCCTGCAATGGTGTCTTTTTGACTTTTGCATTTTTCAGCCAGAGCTAACTTTTCAGCTAGTAAATTTTCAAGCTGTAACTTGAGATCTAGAATTTTTGCCTCTGACTTTTCTGCCTCTGATTTTTGCACATCATCAAATTTTTCAAATCTAGCCTTTATAATTGAAGGTATTTCTGACATCACGTTACGCAGTTTTGAGTAACACATGTAATTTAGTGCTTCAATTATATCACCACGCTTTGATTTCTTTCCATTTTTGCCAATTACATCCCACCATGCAAATAATGTAGAGACTGAGTCTGTTAATTCAAGTACCTCTTTGTTAAGTTTGCACAATGTAGGTTCAACTTTTGTAGTCCATAAAGCAAACAATACATCACTTTCTTTAGAAATGAACCCTTCCATCCTTGAGGAGGTAATCTGAAATTTACCAAATTGAACTATTGAAACAAATTACAGTCTTGTAAATTCTGTTTCATGCAATTTAAGCAAATGGAGGAACCATAAAAGCAGACTTACCCACTTTTGTGGTTAGAAGGCCAGTTTTAATCCATTTACCAGGTCAGCTGTTAAAATCCAGCTAAGACCGGCTAAAGTAAATTTCAGAAAAACTCACTGCAAGGAATCCCCGGTTTCGGCACCATCTGTAAGAATGGTTTTAACCACAGCGGTTCAAACTGTAGTTCTGCCGAGTGACTAAAAAATTATCAGCATGATGGTAAAAAACTGTACATTTCTAGTCAAACCATTCTTCTGCAATCTCATACCAAAAAACGGAAATAAGGGCAGTATTAATAGCTATAAATGTGGGAGAGCATTGATATTATGTGATTGTATTGTATTGCAATATGGAGCAATTAAATATTAATGTTAAATCAAAAGTAATTCACAAATACTTGAAAATGAGATGATTTAATGACAATAATTATCTATGGTTACAACTGAATTAATTACAAACAACTGTATAAAATGATAAAATAGGAAATTTTGATAAAACATATATGATAAAACATATGATATAATAACATATGATATAAATTGCACCCAGCTTAAATGTAAAATTAAGTTACCAGAGGTAGATGGAGAGACACAGGGGGAGGGAGAGAGAGACAAAGAGAGCAGGCCCAGAAGTTAGCCTGATTGCAGTAGAGTCAGAGAAGATGGACTGCAGAGGAGGAGAGGAGCAAAGCAGGAAAAGACAGGCCAGGAAAAGAGACAGAGCTCGAGTTTACCACCTATTTTGTATCTTTCTTGACCATGTGACTAAAACCATTTAAGACATTCAAACTGACCAATCAACATGTGACCACACCATAAAACCAAAAAGAAAGTCAAAAAGACATGTTTTGTCATATAAACAAATGCATATGATATTTTAGCCTCTTACAGGTTTTGGAAAAAAATTCATCGATGAACAAATCATATCAGAGTCATTGGGATAATTAGGTCAAAATAAATGCATATTATAAAACAATTAATGTGTTTTTTGACCTTGCATGCATATTAACCTTTTGTTGGAGACCCCAAAACCAAAATATCATCTTTTATAATGCATAATAGGGGCTCTTTAATCACCCTCAAGTCATTCCTCACCCATAAAACGATAAAGTTTTTTTTGTTTTTGTTAATTATTGACATATTTTGAAGTTGTCATGTAGAACCATTTATGTCAAAACCTTTGGTTGATCATGATTTGTAATTTCTTTCTATCGTTTCTTTCTGTTTTTCTCACAGTTATACTGAGCCTAAGATCGGGTTGGTGCTGGTTACACTTCATTGAAAGAGCTGCTACGATGAAGCTTTTACTTAAAAATTTCTCTCTTCACTGCCTTAATCCAAAGTGTCTTCGCTAAAGATCAGTAGTGCCAGTAATAATAATAATGTTTTTTGTCTTTTAACTGCATACATGTCTATTTTCACGGCTTTTTGTATTGTGAAAAAGTTTATGTAAGACATAAAACTATCAGGGTACTGCATATTTACCACAGCATTTTACATTGTATTGTATATACATGTTATGCTTTCACCACATTTTAATATAGTTAGCTTAAATAGCATTTTCTCAAAATCAATGTCGTATTTTATTAATGGTATATTGTTGACGCATACTTTTGAATTATGAGTGCAGTACCACACAAGTTTTATAAGATCTTGTTTGCTGTCTAGCGTCAGGGTAAATGTGAAGGTCACAGAATGCTATACATATCTGGAAATATAAAAGCTGATCCTCACTTTGCTTTGCATTTTACTTTGTGAGCATCAGAAATATTCATTTTATGCTGCTTTTTGAGTTTTAGCTCAAGGGTTTTATATTTCCAGTTTCAAATATTGTCATGTATATATTTTAGAAAGCGTAACTCTGCTATGCAAATCACAATTCTTATTGTAATTCTTGTGTGTAAATTTGTGGAAAATATTTTTTGTGAAACAAAATTTTGATCCTCAAAAGATTTTATATGTAGCAATTTGTTTTATTTTGTTTGAAATTGAAGAGAAAGGAAGAATAAAATCATAAAATATACAAGTTTTCTTTAAGTGAAATTTGGTGAAATTTAAAAGTGGATAATTTTGAATGTGTCTAGGGCTTGAAATGGCATAGCTTAGCAACCGCCTGGAGCTCACAGCTGAGCATTTTCACATCCTCGATTGTCTTTCTCTTTTTTTAATCAGTAGAAACCGTTGGTGGGGGAAAATACTCTAGCTTGTAGAATGCTCAGTAGCTGACGTTTGTTTGAATTGGTAAAGGTCAGATTTCTCCATGATGAAAGAGGCAGCTGTTAAATTGAATAAAGTTGCACTTCCTGTCCATCAGAGGGCGATGTTGTTGACTAAGTAGTGCACTCAAACCGCTAATGAGTGACTTTGGTGTCTACAATCTAACACGAGGCTTCTGAATCTAAAATGCTACTGCATTATATTTACACAGTTTTCTTAGCACTCCAAACTAAAAACATTTGATGATAAACTTGCAGTACACATATTTCTACTTATCTCCCTTTTATCTTTTTGAGTAAAAAGCCGTTTTCTCTAACTTTTACTAATTTTTATAATAATAAACATAATAAAAAGTATTGAATTTCTTCATACATTATGTACATGTCAATGAATGACCATTAACACCAAATTGCACATTTGCACAGCTAAAAAAATGAATTTATTACACTAGAACCATTGAAAAAACTTTGTATTGTAAAAATCTTTGCTGTATTGATTTTACATTTTCTATTGCATTGAACATAACTGAACTCAAGTAAAAGCCAAAACCAGTAACATAAAGTTAAATAATAATAATAATTAGAAAACTAAAGGTCAGCTTTCTTTATTAGCTGATTTTATGTTCAACAGATGAAAGAAAATTAAACATGTTTGGAACAAGAAACGGGTAAATAAACGATGACAGAATTTTTAGTTTTGGGTTACTACAACTATCATGTCTCAGTAACATGCTCCTTATTCACCTAGACAAGTGCTCTGAGGCTATGGTACTGTAATTACTGTATTGCACTTAAACTAAATGTTCTTACTGACAAGCTGCTTTGGTAACTGTTAATTTAATACTAGCTGGGAGTCACCTTTATTAAATGGTAATGTTTGGCTTCTAATATAGCAAGATTAATTTAACTAAATTACTGAGCCCCAGCATTAGAACAAAACCTTAAGTTTCATCAGGGTTTGTCTTGTTTTTGGTTATATCTGTTTTTCTCCTTACTGCATGAGACTGAGGTCATGCACAAAACGAGTTCTTGACTGCAGAAGAAGCAAGACTCGACAGATGAGCTGAGAACGTCACACAGTCACAGCGGAAGCATCGAAAAGATTTGATGTAAGATTTTACAGAGAAAAGAGCCCAGCCTCACATTTCATTTCCCTACAAGAGGATATGATCTTTCTGTTCTTACGAGGACTTGAATTTCCTGTTTAACAATTGTAGTTTTGAAAAATATGCAGAATTGGACTGGTATCTAAACTGAAGTCATTCTTTAAAAAAAAAAAAAACTAAACAAAAATAATTAACAAAACGAAATGCACCCGTGACACTCTCAATTTAAGAGCTCAAAGGGGTAAGTTGTTTTTCATTGATATATTCTGTTATACATCTATTAACTGCTGTGCTTTAAAACAATGTTTGTGAATTCGAAATTTCTAGTGTAAAGTAAAAATGTAATTGTAAAGGGAAGTTCATTAATCAATAATTGAAATTGAAATGTTAAGGGCTGTCTTCAATTAGAATTATATATTAAATCATAATAGAAAACTTGACTATGAAGCGCTTCAGTTAAAACGTGATCCTTTTTGTAGAGCTGTCTCATTTTTAATTTACTAGTTTATTTTGTTAACAAAAAATTGTATTTTTGTTTAGTTTTTTTAATAGTGTCATCTTCTAGACTCAGTTAATTTGTCAAACCAATTTTTGTTCTGCCCAAAACAAAATGGAACTCAAAGTGGAATCAACATGTGCAACTGATTACGAAGATGAGATGTGCAAGCCATTAAAGTCATTTTAAAAGCATTTACATAATTCTCAGAATTTGCAATTTAACTAAAAGTACTTACCCCTCATGGCAGCCGATGTAGGCCTAGGAAGTGAAAGTCATTACCTTCTTTTGGAGAATAATCTTTGACGTTGTTTTTTTAACATGTCAGAAATGTCATATTCGGATTTTACCCATATTGTGATATTAAATAAATTAATAAGCTGTAGCAGGTGTGTTGGTCTGATTTTTTCGAAAACAAAGCGACAGTTCTTAAATTTTACTACAACAGCAGGGGAGTCATGGCAATTGTACCAAGTTAAAGTTGTCCTGGGCCCTGTGATGAAACGGGCCTGCTGTCCTCTTAGCATGTTTTTTATTTTAATTTACATCTAAGAAAAATTAGGACTATTGCCTGATGTTTTTTATTTTATTTTATTTACTTTTTTTTTTTTGGTATTTTAAAGACTATTCAAGGGACGGACCATTCTTTTTTTGTTTGTTTTTGTTTTTTAAGTCTGTTAACATTTGCTCAAACTTTCATCAGTGGAGTACAAAAAAATAAAGTATAATATAGTCCAAACAACAGCAAACTTCACATTTTATTACAATTTTGGAAATAATTTATTTTGTGTTCACAGAACAAAAGAAAGGATTGGAAATATCAGAGGGTGAGTAAATCTATCAAATTAATTTTATTTATTTTGAAATTATTATTGCTTATACAAATAATCATTGTATCCTTTCTGGCTCTTGTATTCATTTGAAAGTTTAAAGGGTATTGTCTGATCTAGCTAAAAAAAAAAAATCTTGGCTTTCACTTCTATACCCTTTTACAAACTATACTTAATCTTGCTATGTTGCCAACTCTAAATGAAGAGTTCAGATGCGAAAACCTCCAAGTGCTGTCTGACATTTCCATCAAAAATGAACATTTTTTTCAGCCTCCTTTATTTATGTTGAGATATTTCACTTTAAAGGCCAGAAAAAGGACTTATTCTTTGCCAAAAAAGTGATATTACTGAACATTCACGCAGGAGCCTGATAAAAATGCAAATTTTAGATGGCATTTATAGGTTTTTGCATCTGAACTCTTCAAATATTTTTAAATGTATCATTTAATGTTTTGTATCACGTTTTAAAGAATATTTGATATTGTTTTTCATGGTTTGCTTATGGTTTGCTAAATTTTGATAACTTTTGAAAGTCTTTGTAAGCAACTTTTATGTGATGCCGTCTTGACCATGTCTCACTTGAAGAAGATGTATCTCAGTGTGATCTTCTGTCTAAACAAAGGAAGAATAAGAAGAAAAACATTATTAGATATGAGTTCATTTTAAGATTAAATATGATTAATATAGAGATAATAATATTGCTCTGACTTTCGAGGCTTCAACTGACCTGATGTCTTTTCCTGCTGCTTTTCATCTAAATAAAGTGAAAAAAAAATCACTTAAAATATCATTGCATTGTATAAAAGTAGATGGCATGGTGGCTCATTGGTAGGGCCAGACGGAATCAGCGGATGTATTTTGCTATTTCTGTGGAGAATTTTGGTAAAAATCTGTGGATTTCTGCAGAATTATTTTGGGAGTATCATAACTAAAACCTTAATATGTGAAATAAAACAATAATATATTTATAACTTTTTTTTTTTTTTTTTAAAATGCAAATCCAATTAGATACACTTTATTTGGTAAACAAAGCAAGTATCTCATATAATATATATTATATATCTACTAAAAGACAGAAAATATATCTTTACAAACTGCATTATAAATAAATCAGGTGAACATTTTCACATTAGTCAATAATATTACTGTAATTAATTAAAAAACTGAATAAATATAGATTTACTCAAGTAAATAAACAGCATTAACGGTGGGCTAAAAATCTGTGGAAAATCTGTGGAATTCTGCGTGCGCAGATTTCGTTTGGGCCAGCTCATTTGTTAGCGCCTTACAGCAAGATGTCTACAGCAAGATTCCTGGCTAGATCAGAAAGCTTTTCTGTGTGGAGTTTGTATGTTGTCACAATGTTTGTGTGATTTTCCTTCTGGATCCTCTCACAGTCCAAATACATGTGGTGAAATAGGAAAAACTAAATTGGCCACTGTGTATGAATGAGAGAGTGTTCATGAATGCACTTAGTTCTGGACATCCGCTGCATAAAACATATGCCAGAGAAATTGGTGGTTCATTCTGCGTTAGTGACCAATGACTAACAGGGACTAAGGAAAGTCAGCCAACCCTTTTTTGTGTTTAGCGTTAGCATACTAATTTGAATTCTTTATTCTTTGAATTATGCAGGAGACGGAAAGAGACTAGACACAACTGTCTGCCAGACTTCTGACTTTTGGATATCTATGTCTTGAATATCTTGAATATGGCACACAACGACTTCAGTCCCTCAACCTTCATTGGATTATAGATCAGAGGAGTAAAACACCACGGTGCAAGACTAAGTGCGTGAGGCTTCGTCTCCAGAATGCTGTGTTTTCTCCACACAGACTTGTAAAATTATACATCTCAGTGATGACATCATCATCTGTTGGACACTGCTGATTCTGTTAGGACTATCAGACTGCACCTTTGAAGAACTACAAGAGCGGAGAAAGAAGGATGAACGGGTTGACAGAGACCTCGGTGAAATGTGTACTGGTTGGGGACTGCGCAGTGGGTAAAACGGCACTTCTGGTACGGTTCACCTCTGAAACTTTCCCAGATAGCTACAGACCTACTGTCTATGAGAACACTGGAGTTGATGTCTTCATGGATGGAATCCAGATCAGTTTAGGACTGTGGGATACAGCAGGACATGATACATTCCGCCAAATCCGGCCCATGTCCTATCAAGACACCGATGTGGTCTTGCTGTGCTATTCAGTAGCAAATCCAAGTTCTTTAAATAATTTGCGGCACAAATGGATCGCTGAGGTGAGGGAATATCTGCCGAAGGTGCCAGTACTGGTTGTTGCCACACAGACAGACCATCGTGAGATGGGCCCGTATCGTGC